AAGCGCCAGCTAGTTCGTAACCGCCTATATGACCGTCTATGTGCAACTCAAAATTGCATAATTTGCAAAAAAAAAAAAAAAGGTGATTGCATGAGCTCGGGCATAGTTTATCTGATCTCCTGTAAGACGTGTGGTGACGAATACACTGGCGAAACGGGTAGATCCCTCTGTGTCCGCATGAAAGAACACCTAGCCGGCAAAAATAGACCAAATACTCCGCTAGGCACGCATAGGACCCAGAGACATAACGGGGACGACTTCGAAGTATGTGTCACGATCCTCGCACGCGAATCAAGAACACAGGCGCGAAAAACTCTCGAGGCACTCTGGATTAATTCCAGAAATCTGAAAATGAACCGCAGGGAAGAATGCCTCATTATCACGCGTGATATAGGGCAGTATATAAAACTGCTTTTCTGATGTGAGGGGCACATTATACTTCCACGTGATTTCTGTGCGGTTGGTCTCTACGTGACATACTTAGTGGAAACCTCATAGAAAGCGGTTAGTGTGCAAAGCTGTGTTCAAAGTGATTGAAATCTTGGTTTGAAGTTTCTTTGTTTGGTTATGGAGGCGTCTGGCCGAGTGGATTGCTATCAACTTGACCTTTCCAGGCTCTGAAGAAGGCGAGATCCGCCGAAACGTCAGCTTATTCGTGAACAAAGAATAGTATCACCTCGCGTTTGCTCAACAAAAATACGAAGATAAAAGAAGATCTTAAAGAGATTAGAACGGCAGTTGTGGTCGAAGTTGGAGAGGTTGGGCAAAAGCATTCACAAAGCCCAACGAAACTTCACCAGTTGTATAAATAAAATGATTGCACTCTCACGCCCAAACGGAACAGTTACAGCGTCTAGAGAGCAATGGAGAAACTCATTCACGGTTAATGGTCGGATTTCTTTAATAGCCATGTCCACCTTCCGTCATATCAAATAAAGGAGGATGGATATGTTGTACCACCGGTTCTCTCTTCCGAAATACGACATGCCATTTCGTCGGGGAAAAATCGAACAGCACCAGGTCCGGACAGGATTAGACCAGAACACCTGAGGAACCTTTCGCCAGTCCTCGTAAACACACTGGCTAGGCTCTTCAGACGTTACCTGTCTGAATGCAAGGTCCTTACTAAGTTGAAGACCAGCAAGACCGTGTTATTGTTCAAGAAGGCTGACCTACGCGGTATCGGCAACTGTCGCCCAATCTGCTTACTGTCTGTCGTCCACAAAATTCCCACTCAAGCCATCCCAAACAAGATTGACAGAACACTGAACGAAGAACAGCCATGTTTGCAAGTAGGGTTGCGAAAATGATTCAGTATAAGGAACACGGCCGCACGATTATGATACCCTTCAAAATATTACGAGAGTACGAGAGGACGCTCTGCCTTGCTTTCATCGATTTAAAGAAAGCGTCTGATTCAGTTGATACACAGGCAGTCATGCAGCCCTGGACAGCCAAGAGGGCTCTGTTTAGTATAATAGGGATTCTTTGTAAGCGTGAGCTGTTAAAATTTCGCAACCAAATCATCATCTTCTACAATGTTATTAACTTCAACGAGGATTTCGACAAGGCGATACGATCTTCCTGCTACCCTCGAGAACCTCATGCGAGCAGTGGAATGGGACAAGATGGGAGTGAAAATCGATTGGAAATTACACTATCTTCGCTTCTAGTCGGGCGGACGAATACTTGCTGGCTTTGATAAGGCCTATGGAAATTGGTTTTCAGCTAAATCTCGCAAAAACGATGTTTGTGGGAAACGGGCTGATTACTTATCACCATTCACACTCAACGAAATGAATATCTTTTAGTGCTTCAGTCACGTCTATCTAGGTGGGAAAATCAACTTAATGAACGAATTAGCTCTAAAGTTGAGCAAGAGGAGGCGATCGACTTGTGGAGTTTTTGAAAACAGCGAAGAAAAAATGAAGAGAACAAAAAACACCTGACTCCATGCCTACCTTTTCGACTCCACAATTCTTCCTGTCTTAATGCATGCGTCAGAAATTTGGTCGCTGCGTAAGAAGGATGAAAGGTCAATCAGCGTTATTGAATGCGTAGTAAATGGACGATCCTAGTAGTATCTCATGTCACATAATTGAGGGTATGATCTCAAGCTCTACCTCAGCGGTCAAAAATCGAAGATGCTGTTTTATACACCAAATTGTCGATGATAAAGTGAGCAGGACATATAATGCGTACGAACGACAACCAATGGACAAGAGCGGTTAATGACTGGGTTCCTTGGTGTGACAGGCGTACTGCAATAAAACCACAGATTCGATGCTCAGGGTTGTTAACGAAAACTCAAGAGCAAAGGTATAATACTCAACGAGTCCCTCGAGCGAGTTTGCACACGACAGGAAATGGTGGTAGTTTACTGGCGCGCGCTCGGATCTCTTTACGATCAACGGCACGATAGCTGAGTGGTGATATGGATGATGATGATATACCCTTCGTCACTTGAATATTTCTGCTTCCCCAGTAACCATGTAGACTCCAAAACAATCTTCCTTTTTCTTGAAATTTACTGTTCAAGGAAAGTTTCTTTTGCCGTAGTGCTGCGATAGACATGGCGTTTTTACCAGGTCGATGCCACAGACTATGTCTCGCCGTTGTTGACCCTTGGGTGGTTTCCTATCTTTATGACTAGGTTGCTTCCAGTAAGCCCATTATTGGCGGTATTCATTTTCTTTTAGTCGGGTGTTCTAGTAAAAGCGATGAACTCCACATTTTCGACACTGTCTTGGTTGGGTTAAACACCACTGTAGAAATAACTCGACATTCACTAACAACTATGGTCATGATACGACAAACCATTAAGTAGTATATATTAACATAAATAAAAGCTCATTCCACACAATTAGTGGTTGCTCATTTTCTCCCTTGTGCAGCGATAGGAATGAGTTATTATCAATTTGAATATATTTGGAGAACTAAGAAATCTCCTACATTGCTTGATCGGACCATGATAAACAAGCGGAGCTTTCTCCTCTAATATCAGCATATTCGATCAATACTTTCGATTCACAATTGAGTTGCCTAGAATTGAATTAACTAACCAGTAATCTTACGTAGTACGATATGTCAGCTATCCGATCAGTAGAATCTCGAGTATCCCATAAACGAACTACTATGATTATTGATTCGATCTATCATTTAAAGTTAAATTCCAGACGATTCAATCAAATGGAATTATCTTCAAGGAATTTTTAGGAATGAAGCTTGCTTTATAAACAAAAATAGGTTAATTTTAGGCGAATCGTGATCTGTTAGATGATGAAGACGTTCAACCGGCGTTGTTTTGTGCTGGCAGACGTGGAAGGAAGAAGACTCGTCTCGATAGTGTTGGCGAGAAAAGTGTGCGCGACATGAGTGTAAGTGCTTGTTGACATCGTAACTGGTTACTTCCTACCGATATAGTTTTTTTATTCATATAGGACAAGGAGATTCTGACAACAATGTTGCAAATGATGACGAGATCTATGGAGACAGATCCGATTCCACAAAAAATCATCAGGGTTGGTGCTATTCTGGTAGACCTTAATATATTATTGAATACTTCAATGATGCTGAGATATTTGCGAAACTCTGGACCGCAGGTGTCTGCGGTGTGGAACGAACGCGTTATTGTCCTTTCCAGGGGGTAACGCGTTCACCACCACACCATGCGGTACACCATTAATGATCACTGCCAATAATTTTGAGCATAACATAGCAACCATGCCGTAATCATGTAGTGTGCGGACCAATGGTCATCTTGTGAACACTTAAGATATATATCTACCTCAAAAAATTTTTTTGAATTCGATTATAACAAACGTAAGGACTCAAGGAACACAGCAGTGAATGATAATATGCTCAAAGGTTAAAAGAAAACTGAACTGATATTTAGACATGTTCTCTGTTCTCTCGTACGAGAAACGATTTGTCATAATTCATAGTTTTTTTAGGAACAAGGAGTGAATACGGAGACACATCCATTAGTGTCTCGAGGAATGAATACGTATCCGACTTTGTGTCGAACGGAGTCCATTGAAACAGATGTAAATGACGTCGTGAACCGAAGTGTCGCTACTGATGCCACCGTTCTTGTAAACAGAAGTATGGAGACGTCAAGGTAGACACTCCAGAAGCGGCTTGCTTTTATTACATCGTCTCGTATCAGAGACACGAACAGTAATGTTGGTTCCAACTATTTCGCTTATAAATCCAGAAACAGTCTTTCTGAGTAGTTCTATGATCAGTACATCATCGCTTCTTTCTCAGAACGTATTCATACTAAAAATCCAGTAAGTTTTGAAATTATTTTTCCGCTTGTTTTCTCCCTTAATTTTTTGGCATTTTATTACTGCAAACGATGAATCACGGTCGGATTTCCACTTACACATTGGTCTAATCCATTGCTGCTTTTTTTGTAAGATACTTATTTAGACAGGAAAGCGTGGAGTCGACTAACATGCCGTGGGATGAAAAAGTCCATCGTGATATGATGACGTCGCCAATTCTTCAACGCCTTCTCTTCAAAACGACTGGCATCGCCCAACAATCTAAGCCATCAGAAGACATCCAAGTTGTCGATGAGTTCCAGCAAACCTCTTTCAGTATGGATCGACCACGGCCTATGGCCGATCAGACTGTGCAAACGTCGATGAGCATTGATAGACCACTGCGATCTGTTGCTGATCAGTTAGTGCAAACATCGATTGGTACCGATATAACATTGTCATCTAGTGCTGATCGATCACTACAAACGTCTATGAACACCGATGCACCACAACGATCCGTTGCTGATCAATCAGTGCAAGCGTCGATGAGTATCGATACACCACCACGATCTGTTGCTGACCAGTCAGTGCAGACATCGATTAGTATGGATCTAACATTATCATCTTGTGTTGGTCAATTACTACAAACATCTATGAACACCGATGCACCACAACGATCCGTTGCTGATCAATCAGTGCAAGCGTCGATTAGTAGAGATATAATACTTCCATCCCTTACTGACCAATCACTGCAAGCATCGATGAGCACCGATACCACAACACGACGCTTATCAGAGTGTCATTTTTCTTCACAGTTCTCACCGGATGTCGCAGACAAGATAACGTCGCCGATGGTTTTCAAATTGATCGATCGTTCCGCGCAGGGATCACTCCATGAACTGGCGAACAAGTAAGTGAACCTTGGAATTTTACTGATCAGTTCCGTTTTTCAAGTGTTTCTTTGTCCTTCTTTTTATCTGTTATCTTTTATGTTTTGATCTAAGTTGTTCTTCAGTTGCCGCTAGAAAATATACACATTATTGCTGCGGAATTACAAAGGTAAATATTATGAAGAGGACATGCTAGCTATTAATACCCTCTGCGATCCAGAAATACTGCATATTAAATGGTTCCTCTAGTTTGACTTACACTGACAGCTTAACCTTCTTTCTTCGCAATCGCACTGCTTAAAAGTCGCCATTTGAGAGAACCCAGAATCTCGCAGGAACGCAATTTCCCATGAAGCACATCCTCACTTGATCCCTGTATCTCAGGTCGCTTCCATTCGTATTTTTTATTCGGTGGGTTTTCATCTCCTAACTGGAATTGCACAATTTATCCTTGCGACTTACTGGCTAAGACGTCTTTATGCCTATTGATAAGCTATCATCAGTCTTAAGATAATCAAGAGCGTCTCAAACTTCCATGAAATCGAGGAAACGAAAATTTGCATGGGAACAGAAGACACAGGCACATCATCACCGATCCAACGGCATGAACATCAGAAATCAAACACACAGCAATCGCAACAACCCATAAATAATTGATGTTAATTAATTTAAGAATAAACGCAGCGAAATCTTCCACGAGACTCTCAAAGCGATGATTTTCAGATCACAGCAGACGTCGACAGCTGACATTGTGCAGCTATTAGAGCACAGCAACACTTCTGAATTCCAGTCATTAGATGCAGGTCCACATAATGGTAGCTTTCACCATGATTTAAAATTTATTTCTTGAGTTATAGCATTTTATTCTACGAAAATCTCATTACGTCTCATTTGTTAATATCGTTTTATCCAGAAAACCATACCGATGTTCCAGATATTTTTACAGGAATAGAACCGTTAAGGTGGTTCGAATTCTGATCTCATCAGTGTCATCTTTTCTGCAAATATTTTTCATTCGAATTAAGCTCGAGTTTGCTACTGTGGCGAACATCATTACCGCAGTACTGAAGTTCTTAGTGTTGTTTCAAAAAAGGCTTTTCATCCTGCAAATCCACTAAAGAAAACATCCGGACTCGGAAGAAATCACACTGTGACGATAGTCAACAAAAGAAACATGTGTAAAAACGAAGAAAACAGTTATGCCAAGGCTCTTATCTTGTATTTAGTTAGCAATTTAATACATTGTAAATTCGTTTTTAGTGCAGTAATGGAGAAAGGAGATGTTTTATAGAGATCGAATCCCATCACTCCGATACTTGCTGTAATAGTCGTGCTAGTACAAGCTATTATGAGGGACGAATGACGGACAGTATGGAGATAAGGTAAGTTTCTCAGCGTTGCAGAAGAACTCAGAAGATGCGGAATGTGTGATCGCGTCATGCATTATTTTTGCATTAAGCCATAATAATTTGCACAGAAATGCAAGTAATATAAAGTTCTCCAATATTTACAGTATTTTTCACTTTCTTCCAACCAAACGAGTCCAAGCAAGCAATAGATTCATTATTTTTGAGTGAGCTATTATAGCTACTGATTCTCCTTCTTTTAGCACCCAATACTCGCCACAGATGTCGAGATCAGCGATAGCACAAAACGCGAATAGTTTAGGAATCATGTGAGATTCAAAGTTTCCAGTCCACTTAAACTAGACGGTCCTTATTTTCTTTTCCTACTCTGACACAAGTAGCATTGAATTATGAAATTTTGTCATAAGAAGGGGACTGTATTATGAAAGTGATGGATTAGATTTAGAAACAAACGGGCACGATCGAGTTCGACTTCTGGCATTGGCAACAGCATCTATGATGATGAAACTCGTCAGGTTTCTGCTTGGTCATTTATTTTGAACATTTCGAGATGTGGTAGAGTGCGGATATTTTGCGGAAGGACTACCACTTCTGATAAAAACAGGAAAGTGTTGACTTTGGTGTCTTGTTCCGCCGTTCGCTTTGAGCATGCAACTGTCCTTTTATGGACCGTTGGAACAAGCTTTTTCTCATTCGCTTTCCTCATGTTAGGCAATAAATTCTCTTCTAAAGTAGGCTGTTAATGTTAAATAGCGATTGTCGCACATTGATGTTCTATTCCGTCAATTTTTTCTTCATCTAAATACCTTTTTACCATCTCAAAGATTTGGCGTTAAGAAGGTTTAGTGGTTCTCAGGACATCAAGTTTATGTACGTGAACAAATTACAGTAGTAAATCCTCTGCGAGATGGTAAAACTCAAGGAAGTGGGCATTGTGTTGCGATAGGGTTAATTACGTCAACAAATTTATTAGAACATGTGTTCGCGATTTCATCGTTGTTAGTCTACCTATTATGGTGGGACGGCTAGATTATATAGGAATACCAAGTAGTTAAGATGATTCGGTCGGAATTTGCTGCTTGCTTTTGTGTATGCCACGCGGGACTTCTTGTAAGTAGTAGTCACAATGCCGGAAGCCTCAAACTTGGGTAATTAAACCGTTTATCATAATTGTACAACAATCATGACAATACAACTCTACAATTAATGTAACAATGATCCTGGTTATGAGTAGGCGCAGCCTGATCACTGGTGTTCAGGTTGCTTGTGAGTGAAGAGATTGGCATAACACTTTTACTACATGGGATGGATGTGACGCACGAATGCGGTGACTTGGGCAGCATTGCTGTGACATGAGCTAGCTAACCGTGGAGCCGTTTATATACCTTTGCGCTGGGCGGAGTCAGATTACAGTAGGCGGAGTTGGGCTACAGTAGGCAAAAAGACGGGTGCTGGAAACATTTCACAAGCCTTGCGATCTGATAGGGCGATATTCAAAGCCTAGGACCGTAAGTGCAGATATTTTACGAGATAGGCGCCAGCGAAATGTTAGACATACGGCTATCAGATCGTCATAGAGAAAAGGTCATGGGAGAAGCATTTGAAATGTTTGGAAGGGTTATCAGATCGTAATGGAGAAAAGGTCATGGGATAAGCATTTGAAATGTTTGGAAAGGCTATAATTGATTTACATAGAGAACATTCCAATATTCGTGAAGAATGTTCTCTATACCTATAGCATAGTCATTTCAGGAAGTTATAATCCAGACGGATGACTCATATCTGAAACTCGCGCGTCGTCTGGATGAGTATCGTTCGAATCGAACACAATTCTTGCCTGTCGTTGCCGCATCGCCTCTTGGTTCGCGAGACATCGAACCATTCAAGTATGCATAGTTTTAGTAACAAGTTTTCTTAATAACTGTTGTAAAGCTGTCCTTTTCAGAAGCGATCGACCATCTGAACGATGTGGATACTATCTTGACATCAAAGGAGTGCCACGACGGCGCTCAATAAAACTTCATCGACGAGCTAGTCAGAAAACAAAGTTCGTGAAAATACTGCCTTGTTCTAAACAAATTCTCTGACTGGATATGTTTTCTTTTATCTCAAGGAGTCATAGAAATGGTCCTTACGCTGTGATTTGCTGATTGTTGATTGTCGCAAAAGATTATAGAATAGCTCAAGGACGTAAAATCTAAGCAACAACACCGCTTCCAGCCCGTTAGCATACTACGAAGTTCAGGAGTACTCTTTTGTTGCCAATGAAGAGGATCGCAATTTTTAATCGGTGCATAAATTCTATTACTAAGAGACAATATGTTCGGAAGGGTGTTTGCGCTGTAGTGTCGAGTAAACTCCATTTCCAGCTATTCATTCTTTATATCATGAATGTCCTTAGAACCACACCACCTTTGTTTCATTTCTAGTGCCACTTATATTTGTTGTCTTCTTCGCTATTATCGCTATTTAGAGCTTCTGTAAAGGTAAAGGGGCCATGTACACCAGTGGTTAAAGGTGCGCTGCAATACACACGTGGTCATAGGTTCCGTCTCACGCATATGGCTAATGAAGCCTCCTATCCCTTCGGGTTCGATGAATTGGTATTAGACTTGTCCGGGACAATAAACAACACTAATCAATATGTGTTCTTTCACTGATTAACCAACGAGAGGTTGATGAAAAGGTTTATTCGGCAAGAGTTTCAACGTCTTCGTCTTTCTCCGAGCCAGTGATCCAAGACGATGGTTCAAAGTCTTTCGTTCTCGCGATGCGAGTCACCCATAGTCGTATCGAGTCGGGTTTTCTTCAGTGAAGCACTATTCGGATGTGGCAATCTCACGTGGTGATGCTCTTGTATACAGGACGCTTGTTAATGATACTAATTTCCCGTTGACAATAATTTGTTTCTCAGCGTAGAATCCATCTTGCAGCAGTTGGCATTGTATTATCTAGCACATGGCAAATCAATATTTCAAAAACCGGCTTCTCTTTAACTTCGGCATGAGTAATCGATATGTAACCCTACATTGACAAGCTAACACGAGGTTCATGAAAAGGTTTTATTATCAACGAGCAATCGGTATCATCAATAACGGTTCTGTATAAAGCCGTCGGATGAGACTGCGTCATTGAAGCGACGTTCCAGTGTAGGAGATTCGATCGACACAACGACGAAACACCACAGCGAAATGCAAAGAACGGCAAACATGGAATTTAGTTATAGGCTCTGAAAAGGACGAAGACGTCGAAAGGTTAGCCGAATTAATATGTGGTAACAACTTCATGTTAGCTTTTCAACGAAGGATACATATTGATTGGTCATGCCGAGGTTAAAGGAAGGACCGTTGCTGAAAAAACTTGCTATATCAGGTGGCAATTTTAGGTCGTTGTGAATGCTTGATGTAAATTCAGTTAGAAGCGTTGTTTTTTCCAGAATCTCTAGGTTACGGTTTTAAGACGTTTTTGGTTATCCAATACCAAGTTCATGTGAAACGAATGGTGTTTTGCAGCATCCGAAATAGGTGTAATGAAGACTTCTGGGATTATCCTATTTCTAACAAGGTTTTCGCCTAACATATGCTATTAAAGTCTTGTAACTATAGGTAGCCTCCCAACGTTTCACGGCCTCATCGTGGTTGGGAGGTGTTCCTGTGTGTTGGGCTGCGATGTACAGCGGGGATTCATTCCTCTGGCAGGGTCTCCTAAACTGAAAAGGAGTCCGGCGTTCCCATCAGGAAGCCTAGCTAGGAGTAAACCAATACCAGGATCCACCAACGTCCTGGTATGAAAGTCGCATAGTGGCAAATCTCCAAGGGCTACAAGGGCTGCAATTGCCTGTGGTGGTGAAGACCTGAGGCAGACTTTGGCCAGGCTGACCTCGGTATTACAAGGGAACCACAGTGGCTTATCCAGCAAATCTCCGAAAAGTGGAGATTGTGCTGAGACCCGCATAGCCAGTGAGGATGGGCCGTTCATGTATCAAGTAGCTATGGGTAAATATAATAATAAGACTTAACTAATATAAATTCTATAACTACTGCTTTTCTACACTCTCGATCATCTCCTCGAAATGGCGAGACAATATAGTAGTGATAAGGGATATTGAATTTAAAAGATAGAAACTAGAAAGATAGCATCCGTCTCCTTCTTGGTTTTCTTTTTTATTCAATTTTTCTTCTTGGTTTTGTAACTTTGGCGGTTATTTAGCAATGCCGATTCACAGACAGGAGCTTCTTTGGAGTTGGAACCAATAGTATCGGTTAGTTTATTACCTATCTTATTTTAGCTTACTTTACCTATGTATTGACAAATAACAAGTTGAGAGTACTTTTAAATTTTATCGTCAGCGTTTTAGTATTGGTGATAATAAGAAAGAGATCAGTGAAAAGATGATTTTGATAACATGATGTCATTCGAATTACTACTTAGTAACGTTGTTGTAAAATGGAAGAATGATGTATGAGGCGTTTCTCCTGCATACTTCTCATATATGTCATCAGATACCCATCGGCGTGAAAATTTGATATGAAAGATATTAGAACGTTGGAAAAACTGAACTTTAGTTCAATAGGAAAGGCGTCGTACTAATATGTTTATGACGCCTTCTCAAGTTTACTATACGTAAACGATGAGAAGCCGCATTTCCATCATAGCCATGTTTTCTTCTAATCCTCGACGTCATCCAATATTCTCCGTTCAAGTTCAGCTGCTAGTAGAAAAGATAACTGTAGCTGAAAACCCGTTCAAAGGGCGAAGAACCTGGTAAGAGTGAGGAAATCCGTTCGATATTCGTAAAAGTTACAGAGCGATTCGGATACCTCCAATCGAAAGACCTCCAGAAAAGGTAAGGAAAATTGTGTGTTTTTCTCTGCAAGCCAAATTGACAGCATTTTTATTTTTTGTTATGCATTATGCTTGCATACCGTTCTGTTTCAATGCTTTTGCCTTCAGTTTCTTAGATAGTTTAGCAGTTTAGTCTACTTCCCACCGTTCGTTTTTCTATTATTTATAGTCGACAAAGACCGACTACTGTATCTGCTGGCTTAAAAAGTGTTAATAGAAGTTAGATGCTTGATTTTATAACATCACGTAACCATCTATCTTTTTTATTCCAGTTACAATCACATAATGTTCACGAAAAGCGCAATGTTTGGAGGTTCAGTGCAACATTACACGCACAGCCGCTAGTTTGACCACTTCTCCGGGTCCGCTAAGCCTCTTATTCCTATGGCTTGGCGAGTTGGTATCAGAGTTGCCCGGAAAACTTTGCTTTTCATACACTAAGGCTGGTGAGCTGTGGTGAAGACCTAGGAACGCGCTGGCAAGGCCATCCCATGTTTCAATGAATAATCATTCTTCAACGGCCCTCAAAGTGCTCAAGTGCTGGTTGGATCTAAATGGAAATCCGAAGATCTTTGTGGACGATGGATGTGAGACAACGAATAATGTAGCAAGTAGTGCCCTGGAAATAAATGTAGCAGTTCAGTTTTAGATTCATTACTTTACATATTATTATAAGGAATAGTAGAGCAGCGAAGGTTAGTTGATTACCCGTTACAGTGTACCTGGTCAGCTCTCTAATGTTATGACGTCGGCTGGTTAAAAGTTTTATAATATACAGGTGTTACACTCCAACATTTGGGGGCTGCGATTGAGACTCCAAAAGCAGAAGTTTCAGGTTTAAGATATTGTAACAGAATCGAAGACCACAGTCGCCTGATGAGCTCGCGATGTCAGGCATGATGATAGTTTGCTCTCTTGTATCTAGTGTTTTTTGTTATTTGCCACCTTGGTCTTGCGATTACTAACACGAAAACATAGACCTAGACACGACGTAGACATAGACCAAAACTCGTGAAACTTAAGTGAATGAAGCGTTATCAAGCAATGAAGTAAGCTAGCGCGATAATAACAACATAACGACATTAATGAGGGTAGCAAAAAATGAAGGTTAACTAAAGTATTGGTGATTGGGACGGAAAAGACATTTACGACTAAGGTTAATATCACCTGTATCGCCTGTATCATCTGTAGTCCCGTTGATCGTCGAGTGACTCGAGCGGACGCCATTAAATCTTCCATTTTTCCTGGTCGCGTGCAAGACTAGCCTAATGGGTTCTGCTCGCTCTAGGGACTCGTCGAGCATATCTTTCTTCTAGGCTTTCGTGAAGAACTCTGAACATCGAGATGGTGGTCTTCCTGCAGTGCGTTTAACATCCCGAAGAATCCGGTCACTAACGGCTCTTGTCCATCGGTTGTCATTCATACGCATTATGTGTCCGACCCACATCTTCGACTGTTTGGCGTACAGAACGGCATCTTTGATTTTTGATCGTTGACGTAGGTCGGAGCTTCGGATTCCTTCTCTTGTGTGAAACGGGACACTCCTAGCACGGTCCTTTCGACTACGCATTCGATAACGATGAGGGACCTTTCATCCTGTTTACACAGCGACCAGATTTCTGACGCACACGTTAGAGCAGGAAGTACCGTTGAGTTGAAAAAATGGGCACGGAATCGGGCGTTCTTTGTCCTCGTCACTACATCCTCGATGTTCTTCAAAGCTCCCCAAGCCGCTCGTTTCCTTCTGCTCTGTTCTGGAGCTAAGTCGTTCAACACGTTGATTATGCGATATAGATAGACATAACTAGAGCATTCGGAGGTATTTGGTTCATTGAACGTGAATGGATCATACGAAACCATTCCTCATTAACACCGTTTTTGTGAGATTTTGTCGAAGACCAATCTTTCCACAGGCTTTATCAAAGTCAGCAATCATACGTTCCGCTTCGCTAATGTTTGGTGTTGTAATGACGATGTCATCAGCAAAGTGAAGATGTTGTAACTACCGACAATCGATTTTCACTCCCATATTATCTCATTCCAATGTTCGCATGACATTCTCCAGGGTGTCCGTAAATAATTTTGGCGAGATGAGATCGTCTTGCCTAACACCTCTTTTGTCGTCGATGTTTATATCGTTGCAGAATGATGACATTCTGGTCGTGAAACTTTTGTACAGCTCGCGAAGATTTTTTACATACTGAGCATGGACTCCATGACTATCAAGGGCTTTCATGACTGCTTCTACCTCAGTTGAGTCTAATGCCGTCTTTAGATCGATGAAAATGAGGCAGAGCAGTCTTTTGCTCTCTCGCGGTACTTCAGCGGGTCTTGTTAACGTGTGGATGTAGTCCATCGTACTAAATCCTTTTCGAAACCCTTCTTACTCATATGGCTGTCTTTCGTCCAGAGTTCTGTCAATCCAGTTTGGGATTACTCGAGAGAAATGTTTGTAGACGAAATACAGCAAGCAGATTGGGCGACAGTTGCCGATACCGCGTAGGTCACCCTTCTTGAACAAAAACACGGTCTTGCTGGTCTTCAACTGAGTAGGGACTTTGCATTCAGGCAGGTAATGTGTGAACAGTCGAGCCATCATGTTTATGAAGACTGGCGGAAGGTTCTTCAGGTGTTCAGGTCTTCTCCTGCCCAGACCTGGAGCTGTTCTAATTTTCACCGACGAAATGGCATGTCGGATTTCGGATGGCAGAACAGGTGGTACAACGTAGCAATCCTCCTTGACGGATGGCGGAAGGTGGGCGTGGCTATCGAAGAGATCTGAGTAGTATTAGTGAAAGATTTTTTCCATTGACTTTCTGGATGTTGTAACTGTTCCGTCTGGGCGTCGGAATGCAATCATCTTGGTCTTGTAATTGACGAAGCTTCGATGGGCTTTGCAAATGCTTTTCCCAGCGTGCAGCTCCGATCATTACTGCTGTTCTTCTCTCTCTAAAATATTCTTTTATCGCCTGTCTGCACTGTTTTGCAAGTTCGGACGTTAGTTCGCGGTTACCTGCAGCTCGTGCGGTTCCATGCTGGCGTATAAGCTCGTGTGTTTCCAGAGACAGGCGTCTCTTGGTGACTTTCGAACTCTCAGCTTTCATAGCGCTAACGTGAAGATGTTGAATGAGCCGTTCGTATTCTTCGTCGATGTTATCGACAGCGGCGTCATCCCAACAGCCGACAAATCAATTGAATAAGTCCAGTTTATAGTGGTCCTGCGGGCGGCTTCGGTTTTTGAATTTAGGAGCTTTTTGTCCTTTCGGCGAAAAATAGTCTTGCACGAAGGAGGCGGTGGTCGAACCCTGTGCAGAATTTTGGGACAATAGCGAAATCGGTTAGGTAAAACCTTCTATTTACTACGACGTGGTCTATTTCGTTATGGTGCTCTCCACTGGGAGATTCCCACGTCCAGCGTTGAGAGTGGAGCTCCTGGAATTGCGAGTTACTATGGATGGTCAGCCGCTCACACTCTTCGTTCCATTCTAATCCATGGGCCCCAATGTGACGTTCTTCTTGGTCCAATCTTGGCATTGAAATCTCCAATGATGACCTTAAAGAATGCAGGTCGTCTCTGTAGAACTTTTCCGAGTCCATATAGAACGTTTCGACTTCTTCTTCGTTATAGTTTGATGTCGGCGCGTAAACGACGAAGATTGTCAAAACCGGTATTGAGCCACATCTTTTAATTGTCGACATCCAATTCGAGTTGTTAGTTGTTCGAATGAATCGTTGTTCATGGACAAACTCATGTTGACGAGAGCACCGACACCGCTGACTCTTCTACTGTCGCATGTTCTGAGGAACAGTTCTTCTCCGGTATCACAGACGACATTGACGTCCTCTCGTCTCGGCCAGACCGTACCTTATCCTTCTTGCTTGCATGAGCAAGTCTTTCATCGAAGACTCGGATGCAAGTGTACGTGCATTGTAGGTACAGATCGTCACCATAGTTCTTCGTGATCCAGGTAACTTCCATTGGACCTGAGATTTTAGCGGCCTCTCCGTACTCGTCCTTTTCAACGCTTAGAAATTAGGGCTCTTTCGAGGTCAGGGGAATGAGTCCCGTTTAGCATTTTGATACCCACGTATAGCATGCTGGGCTCTGAACGTGGAGGCTGGGTATACTCACGGATCGCTTGCCAAGCTCTCCCAGAGTGGACATGGAGCTTATTTGTTAGAGGGGACTCCTAACGATCTCCCATATACTTCGTTGTCACTTTATTGCAGGCTTTTGGCCGAATTGACTCATAGAACATAATCCGCTCGAACTAGAACGCGCCCAGACACGCTTGCATTAATATTCCTCGTTAATACAGTGTGTTCCAAATTGGCGCAGCAGAAACAGGGAGTCTATCTCCTGGATCGACCTGCGTCTTAGGGAAGCAAAGGTCGCTTTTGGTCCGCGATTAACCATTATCCGCCACCTGGGGACGCACCACGTAACCTCGCGACTAACCGGCTGTCGAGATCTTCGTGAGGGAGATCCGTGGTCTCGAGTTCTACTACGTTAAGAAAGAAATAGAGAATGAGGTGGTATATGTACTCGAGCCAATCGCAAAATGGCTGATGGTGCTTCTTACATTCGTTGTATAATGGGTGGAGTTCTGCTAGAGAAAGCTAGAGTCAGTGCTCGAAAGGTGATTCCGGAATATTTCATCATGAGAGTAACGTGATTCATTTCATGGGACATTAGATGAGGGAACTTTTTTATTACATTACCCGTTATCACATCTGCTGTGCGGTTCCCAACACTTCTCTCATATTCGGTTCACACTCTTCGCACTCGTCGTCTACATTTGTCTTTGATACATTTCGCGTGTTGTTTCATCTGCTGCTTGACGGCTTTAGGGCTTAAGTAATAGACCTAGCGCCTTTCCTTCTTGATCGACGGCATCGCTAGCTACTGCGCTATCCGATGCGAAGCTTAGATAAGACGATACGCACCTTCATTCACATAAAAGGTCTATTAGATAGCGGAAGCTTAGTCTGTAGAAAAAGTTCATTGGATAGAAGACGACAGCACGTAAAAACTTCATCACAGAACAGTGGAGAGGTTGCGCCAAGGAAGATGATAACGTATATTCTATGGGGTAGCATATATAGTTGACGCAAGTCATTTTGGCAAATAAGGTTTCTTCCCTTGTTCCGAAGTACTAAACAAATATTGCGACGATTCTGATGTGGGAGGCTATTGGACTTACCTGGGATTGCAATCACACAAAAACACTTTCAACAAGTGCATCCAAAGCTTAAGCCAGCACTACTGGTTATATTTCATTTGGAATTTTCCTTAAATATTCTTTGTCAAATTATTGTAAGTGGAAAACAGCTTCCACAACTTACTTCCTTAGTGACATACATGGACGGCCCATTTTCACGAGTTCCATCGACCCAAGCACAATTTCTTTTGGTTTTTTTGCCTCCTAATCGTCGTCCATGGTGGTGGTTCGATTCGAAATGGTGGTAGGTGCGAGTCTCAAACCGACTGTAGTCTGACTACAGATGCGAGTACAGCTGATTGACTTTTGTTATGAATACGTCCGCCCAGCGTTTAGGTGGCCATGTTAGGCGACGCATACATCGTGGAATCCACTCTACAGTTTTTTTCATCCACCGGTTGTCTGTTTTTCTCATTATTTTAATGGGCTATCTTTGTTTCGCTAGGGCGCGTGTGGCGCAGTGGTTGGAGGCCCCACTGCGACATACTCATGGAATCGACTCCTGGGATGGGCCCATAGCCCACCAAGCCTTCCATCCCTCCGGGGTCGACGGATTAGTACCAGACTTGTCTAGGAGGATAGCAGCACTGGCTCGATACATCAGTAGCCCACTGCGAGTCACTGTAAAGGCAGATATGCGTTCAATCACCTCAAACGATACCTAATGAAGTCGAATGCATGGCTCATCCCTCAGGGATTGATCAACGCTGAGAGTTTTATCTTTTATCCTTTTATCTTTGTTTTGCTATCGATATTGGGTAGCCCCTGCAGTTCGCATAAGTTTTCAAAAGACAATTTATTTTTGTAACCGTATTTGCCATTCACCCAAGACAATCCACTTACACAAATGGGGATGTGCCTTTATGTAACAGCAGCCGAATTGATGTAGTGGACGTACTCACCTTAATCTTAGTCTTTTAGTTTGCATCTATTTCTGCTTAATGAAAAAGTGCACGAATTAAGTGAAAAGTTCTCTATTCTGTATGAATCACTTTTTTTTCAGAATAACAACGAGAAAAGTCGCTCGATCTCGCCCATGTCACCGCCACGCTCTCGCAAGCGCCTCGCACGTGTTGCGTCGCTACCAACCGGTGTTGCACGTGGTAAAGTTGGCGAATATATCGCCAAGCATGAACGTGGAATTCCGAACCCAGCGATCGGACGGGATCGACCTGTGCGTATTGTTCGTCAATATGCCATGGTCGACAAAGAGACATAACCATTTGTGCGCCCGGTGTGAATCGGACGTGTTATCGCTGGTGTGTACGAGATTGTCCACAGTGCAGAACAATTTATTGGTCAAATCTTGGTCGGGATTCCTTTGTATTATCACCAATTAGAGTACTAGTGGAATATTGCTTTTTGAGATTGATCACTCGGACGGAAATAGTTTTTTCTGCTGTAGCTAATTGAGCATGATATTCAGTGAAATTTTATACTCAACTAACCATTTCAACGGGTGCGTCATAATTGTTTGTTGCGTTTTTCTCCTGTTCAACTTTTTTATCCTCATTTTATTCATATGGCATAAACCACAATATAAATTTTGTTTTCAACCAATACAACGTCTGGCGAGAACGAGTTAGCAGTGATGACATATTTCACAATAAAAATGTGGGAACCAACAACGCGAACACACCGTGGAGAAGATCACGTGGGTAGAACATGTAAACTTATAGGTGGCGATAAACGAACATTACATACATGCTGGTACATACATACATACATACACACATACAAACATGCATACATATACATATACATATACATATACGTATACATATACATATACATATATACATATATACATATACATACTTGATACTTGGATGGCCCGTCCTCACTGGTTGTGCGGGCCCTAGCAAAATCTCCATTTTTCGGAGATTTGCTAGTTAAGCCATTATGGTTTCCTGTAGTCCCGAGGTCAACCTGGCTAAAGTCTTCCCCAGGTCTTCACCACCACAGGCAGTCGCAGTCTTTGTGGATCAGATGGAGATTTACCAACATGCGACCTTGATACCAGGACGGTGGTGGATCCTGGTATTGTTTGCTCTTAGCTAGGCTTCCTGATGGAAAAACCGGACTCCTTCTCAGCTTGGGAGGCCATGCCGTGGAAACGAATCCTTCCGCGGCACATCGCGGTCCGACAGCTAGGAACGCCTCCCAGCCACGATGAGGCGATAAACCGTTGGTAGGATAGATAAACATATACATGTACAAATATACATATACATATGCATATATACATACGCTATTGTCCTTTCCGACGAGTAACGCGATCGTTCTCCACCACATACACCTGCGGTCCGGAGTTTTGCAAATATCTCAGCATCACTGAAGTTATATTTCGCAGTATACCTTGCCATTAAAAAAGAGTAGGCAGTAAATAATAAGTTGAAACTGTGATTACAGCTACAGCCTCAGCTTAACTGGGTTCGTTGCCGATTTGGACCCCGCAGATCAATCCAGCTGACTGGTGATTGCTGTGGCAAAAATCGACAGAACTAGCTGAGAGACAGGCGAAACGGAGGATCTGCATGGTGTGGTGGTGAACGCGTTACTCCCCGGAAAGTACAATAGCGCGCTCGTTCCCCACCGCAGACACCTGCGGTCCGGAGTTTTGCAAATATCTCAGCATCATTGAAGTTATATTTCGCAGTATATCTTGCCATTAATAATGAGTACGCAGTAAATGATAAGTTGAAATTTCAAATACTCTTTCCGGTGACCTTATTCCTAAGACGATCTGATAACCTTACGTCTAACATTTCGTTGGCGGTTATTTCATGAAAAATATCTGCAGTTACAGACCTATGCTTTGACTATTGCCTTATCAGATTGTAATGCTTGAAAAATATTTCCAACAACCGTCTTTCCGCATACTGTAACCTGACTCCGGCAAGCCTAAAAGGTATCTAAACGGTGCCAGAGTTAGCTAGCTGAGCTCACAGCAATACTGCCCAAGTCACCATGTCCTTTCGTCACATCCATCTCATGTAGAAGAAGTCATATGACAACCTCTTCACTCATAAGCAATCTGAGCACCAGTGATCAGGATGCGTCTATTCATTATGCTATCACTGTTGTATTAATTGTGCAGTTGTACGGTTATTGTTGTATTATGATAAACGGTTTAATTGCCCAATTTTGAGGTTTCCGGCATTGTGACTGCTAATCACAAAAAGTCCCGCGTGGCACAGACAAAGGCGAGCAGCTTATACCAACCGAATCTTCGTAACTACTTGGTATTCCATATCAACGAGCCGGCCCAACAACATATGCACATACATACATGCATATCTCTCTCCTCACTAATTGTGTGGGCTCCAGCACAATCCCAATTTTTTTCGGAGTTTTGCTGGTTTGGCCATTGTGACTTTCTGGAGTCGCGAGATCAGCCAGAACAAAATCTGTCCCAGGTCGTCGCCACTGCCGTCGTCGTCATAGTGGATCAGAGGGAGATTCGCCACCATGCGGCTAGTTTGGTAGCGGGACGGTGACAGATCATGGTATTGGTTTATTCTTAGCTAGGCTTCCTTATGGAAATGCCGGACTCCTTCTCAGCTTGAGGAGGCCTGTAGGAGTGGTGAATCCCCCGCTGTAGATAGCAGCCCGACACCCAGGAACACCACCCAGCCACGATGAGGCGGCGAGCGGTTGGGAGGATTTGCTCAACAATAGTATAAAGAATTGCAGGGCAGCATTTAGTCTAAGAAATTCTGAACACATATCCACAAACGTTGCACTTCGAACATCGTTTCATAGCTGTACATAAACCACATTTCACACCAAATTTACTGGCCGTTAATAATAGTTGACCAAAGAGTCCTTGCACAGTGTAGTCGAAAGCGGTAGTTCTCGCCCCAAAATGTGTCTTAGATATCGCCTTAATGTTACCACTAAAGGATAAATAAAGGACAAAGCTTTAGGAGTTGATCAATTCTTGAGGGATGCGTCATGCATTCGACTTCGTTAAGCATCGTTTGGAGGTGATTGAATGCATATCTGGCCTATACAATGCCTCGCGGTGGCCTACCGATGTATTGAGCCAGTGCTGCTATCCTTCCAGACAAGTCTAGTACTAATTTTCTGGTCTCGGAGGGATGGAGGACTTCGTGAGCTTTGGGAGCGGCGATCGATGCCATATATATCGCAGAGCCCATCCGAACACTGCGCAACACGCTCCCCTCTTACCACTAAATGTGAGAAAACTGAAAAAGTGGAATAAGAAAGAAGAAGAAATTACTTTGACTAATGTCTCGTAAAGGAGAGAATGATGATATGGAAACGCCGCGATTGCATTTCACAACGTTTCCAAATTTTTCCTTTAAAAATTGAAGGTGTAAAAAACAAAGATACTTAAGAGCAAAGAAAAAAATAGCACCGTCACTTTATTGAACTCCAGGATGAAACCACAGCTATCCTACCTCATTTGTTCTCTAGGTTCCCACTTTAATAAGAAGTTCGCATACACAAGACATGCATCATGAGCGCTCTTACCAGATGATACCAACTCGGCAATAAACTTGTAAAGCTCGCGTATCTCAAAGAGAATTATCCACACCTTTAGAGACATGACCTAAAAACAATCAACATTCGCAGTGACTTGGTACTAAAGGAGAGAAAATCAGCCCGAAGAATGTACCTCGTTTCTCTCCTTGCAACGCAACTGCCTCTCAAAAACGCGGTCAACCACATAAAGAATCTAAAAGGAAGTGGTAATTTGCCAAAAAACTCAGTACATATCGGCGACCATACAATCGAATGATAAGTGCTTGACGAGTTGAGGAGAGGTCGTTGTTTCAAAACAGTTAACATTCCAGTCTATTCAGCCTCTTTAAAAGCCGAGGGGGGCATGTAGCGCAGTGGTCCGAGGCGCCCTGTACACCTAGGATCGATCCCCGCGCCCCATGCCCACCAAACCCTCCACCCCTCCGGGGTCGGTAAATTGGTACCAGACATGTCTGGAAGTATAGTAGCACTGGCTCGACACTTCAGTAGACCACCGCAAGTCAGTGTAAAGGTCAGATTTGCACTCAGTCATCTCAAACTATTCTTAATGAAGTCAAGTGCTTGACGCATCCTTCATGGATTGATCGACACCGAAAGCTCTATCATTTTCGTCAGCCGCTAAACGTTTAAATGAGGTGCTATACCAAAAAATTTTTAGTTAGTGAGCCGTAAATGGCTCACATTATGATCATCTATGCTTACGGCGATTAAGTATCATCGCAGTTGAAACACTAGTGCATTTTTTAACGCTTTATAACGATTCTAATCTCTTCTTCGACTAGTAATCGATACGGGTACTGTATGCGTCAATTTGGACTAAGTGAATGATTTCCCACTAAGATAATGCTGAGATATTGGCAAAGTTCCGGACCGCAGGTGTCTACGGTGGGGAACGAATGCGCTATTGACCTTTCCGAGGGGTAACGCGTTCACCACCACACCATGCGGGTCCTTCGTTTCGCCTGTCTCTCAACTAGTTCTATTGATCGGCGCCAAAAAAGGTTAAGATGAATGATTTGCTTTCAACACGTTTACAACTTCCACATTTGAAGAAAACATCGATCTTATCGATCAGTCGCAGAGGCCTTTTGCTTGTTTCATTATCATCTATGGCTAGAAAGTCATCCGGATTTCCAGCATTCCACCTCATTTTCTTCATAGCATCAGCCCTCAGAGAGAATAGAAAATGCACAAAAACATATGACCATAAACCATTGTTAGAAAATGTGTCAAAGAGCACCATGTCTAAAGAAACATGAATAAGTCTCACGACCGACTTTCTGTTAACCTCGGCATTTACCAAATAATTCTTCGTATTCTTGTTGAGCAAATGCGAGGTGTTATTCTATTCTTTATTCACGAATAAACTGACGTTTCGACGGATTTCGCCTTCCTCAGAGCCTGCAAAGGTGAAATTGAGTGCAGTCTACCAGCCAAACACCTCCATAAGCAAACAAAGAAGATGCTAAACCAAGATTTCGATCACATTTAACTCGCTCTGCACACTCACCGCTTTCTATGTGTCTTCCATTGAGTATGTCGCGTGGAGACCAACCGCACAGAATTTACATGGAAGCGTAATGTGCCCCTCCCATCAGAATAACAGGCTTATATACTGTCCAATATCACGCGTGATAATGGGGCATTCCTCCCTGCGATTCATTTTCGGATTCTTGGAATTAATCCAGAATGCCTCTAGAGTTTTGC